TGCAATGGTGTGATCTCGGCTTGCTGCCACCTCTGCCTCCTGAGATCAAGCGATTCTCCTGCCATAGCCTCCCAAGTAGCTGGGACTACAGGCGCGTGACACCATGCCCGGCTAATGTTTGTATTTTTAGTAGAGACGGGGTTTCACTATGTTGGCCAGGCTGGTCTCAAACTCCTGACTTCGTTATCTGCCTGCCTCAGCCTCCCAAAGTGCTAGGACTACATCTTGTTTTAGCTCTTAACATTTATGTTTTTGTTCCATTTTCAGTTAACTTTTTGTACAGGGTATAAAGTAAGGGTCAAACTTCATTCTTTTGCAAATGGATATCTAGTTTTCCCAGCACCGTTTTTTTTTTTTTGAGACACGGTCCCACTCAGGGGAACTGTCCCCAGGCTGGAGTGCAGTGGCGCCATCTTAGCTGACTGGCCTCCGCCTCCTGGGTTCAAGTGATTCTCATGCCTCAGCCTCCCAAGTAAGCTGGGATTACAGGTGCCCGCCACCACACCCAGCTAATTTTTGTATTTTTAGTAGAGACGGGGTTTTGCCATGTTGGCCAGGTTGGTCTTGAACTCCTAGCCACAAGTGATCTGCCATCCTCAGCCTCCCAAAGAGCTGGGATTATAGGCGTTAAGCCACTGGGACCGGCCTCTCAGACCATTTGTTAAAAAGACTGTCCTTTTGACACTGAATGGTGAATGGTTCTGGCATCCTTGTCAAAAATTATTTGATACAAAAGTTCATTTCTGGGTTCTACGTGAGTCTATTCTGCTGGACTTTTTGCCAGTACCACACTGTAGCTTCGTAGGGAATTTTGAAATAAGAAAACATACGTGTTACAACTTTATTTTCTTTTTCAAGATGGTTTTGAACAATCAGGGTTCCTTGAGATTCTATATGTTCTATACTAACTTTAGGATGGGTTTTCCTTTTTTTTTTTTTGAGACATAGTTTCACTCAGTCACCCAGGCTGGAGTGCATTGGCACAATCTTGGCTCACTGCAACCTCTACCTCCCAGGTTCATGCAATTCTTGTGTCTCAACCTCCTAAGTAGCTGGGATTACAGGCATGTGCCACCACGCCCAGTTAATTTTTGTATTCTTAGTAGAGATGGGGTTTTGCCATGCTAGCCAGGTTTGTCTCAACTTCCTGACCTCAAGTGATCCACCCGCCTCAGCCTCTCAAAATGCTGGGATTATAGGCGTGAGCCACACCGCCTGGCCGTTTTTTCTATCTGCAAAAAATGCTGTTGGGATTTTAATACAAACTGCACTGAATCTGTAGATCGCATTGGGAAGTATTGTCTTAATATTAAGTCTTCTAATTCATGAACATGGATTTTTTTCCATTCATTTAGGTTGTCTAATTTTTCTGCAATATTTTACAGTTTTCAGTGGACAAGTCTTGCACTTTCTTGGTTAAATTTATTCCTTAGTACTTTACTCTTTTTGATGCTATTGTAAATTGAATTTTTTTTTTTTTTTTTTTTTTGAGACAGAGTCTCACTCTGTTGCTCAGGCCAGAGCACACCATGGCATGATCACGCCTTACAGCAACCTCTGCCTCTTGGGCTGAGGCGATCCTCCCACCTCATTTGTCAAGTAGCTTGGGACTACAGGCACGTGCCACCATGCCCCGGTAATTAAAAAAATTTTTTGAGGCCGTGCACTCCAGACTGGGCAACAGAGCGAGACTGGATCTTAAAAAAAACAACAATAGTAATAATTTTTTTGTAGAGGCAGAGTTTTACCACATTGCCCAGGCTGGTCTCAAACTCCCAGACTCAAGTGATCCGCCTGCTTTGGCCTCCCAAAGTGCTGGCATTACAGGCTTGAGCCACTGAATCCAGCCCTGGAATTGTTTTCTTTCTTTCTTTCTTTCTTTTTGTTTGAGATGGAGTCTCGCTCTGGTGCCCAGGCTGGAGTGCAGTGGCATGATCTTGGCTGACTGCAACCTCTGCCTCCTGGATTCAAGGATTCTCCTGCCTCAGCCTCCTGAGTAGCTGGGACTACAGGTGTGTGCTACCACATGTGGTGTTCTCCTCTGCCAACAGTTTTTTAGCGTTTATTCCTTAGCACAAATTAGTATATTTTAACAGTATATTATTTAACAGTAAATGCTAATTTACTGTTACATATGATAGCAAAAGGCTGTTTCTGATGCAATTCCTTCTATCTGTTAAGTAGCCTCATAAACTTTAAATACCTCTGACCTGGGACTCAGTGTTTACATGTTAATAAAGAGACAACTCTTTGCAGAGAAAAAAAAATATTAACTCATTTGTTTAAATCACCAAAAATGTTTTTCCCAGTTTTTAAAATTTGCCTTTTGAAATAGTCTTGCTCTGTTGCCAGGCTGGAGTGCAGTGGTGCAATCTTGGCCCACTGCAACCTCTGCCTCCCGGGTTCAAGTGATTCTCCTGCCTCAGCCTCCCGAATAGCTGGGGCTACAGGCATGTGCCACCATGCCCAGCTAATTTTTGTATTTTTAATAGAAATGGGGTTTCACCATGTTGGCCAGGATGATCTCAATCTCCTGACCTCATGATCTGCCCACCTCAGCCTCTCACAGTGGTGTGAGCTACTGCACACGGTCTGAAATACTTTTAAAAAATTATTATTATTATTATTTATTATTATATATTTTTGAGACAGTCTCACTGCATAGCCCAGGCTGGAGTGCAGTGGCGCAATCTTGGCTCACTGCAACCGCTGCCTCCCAGGTTCATGCGATTCTCCTGCCTCAGCCTCTTGAGTAGCTGGGACTACAGGCATGAGCCACCACACCCAGTTAATTTTTGTGTTTTTAGTAGAGGCTGGGTTCAACCATGTTGGCCAGGCTGGTCAACTCCTGACCTCAGGTGATCCACCTGCCCTGCCTCCCAAAGTGCTGGGATTACAGGCATAAGACATTACCCCTGGCCATAAAAAATTATTTTTTATTTTTAGTTGACACATATGCACATATTTATGGGTTATAATGGGTTGTTTCAATACATGTATACATCATGTAATGATCAAATCTGGGTAATGAGAAATCCATCATGACAAACATTTATCATTCAGAATCTTCTCTTTCTCTTCTAGCTATTTTAAGATCTACAACACCTTATTGTTGACTGCAGGCACCGTACTGTGCAACAGAACACTAGAACTTACTTATCTTCTCTAACTTTGTATCTATTGATCAACTCCTTCCCATCCCCTGAAATACATTTTAAAGGATTTTGTATTACAAATTAGTCTGATAAATTTTATGCTATACCCATACAATAGAATACTATTTAGCAATAAAGAGAACTAAGCTATTAACATACACAACATGGATGAATCTAAAAATCACTATGCTGAGTGGAAAATGCCAGACTCAAAGGGTACGGAATGAATGATGTTCATTTATACGACATTTTAGAAAATGCAAACTAATATTCAGTGACAAAAGCTAATCAGTGGTTGTCTGAACCCAGGAGCGGAGTAAAGATGAACTATAAAAGGGCATGAGGAAGCATTTCAGTTTGATCGTAAAGGTGGTTTCATGAATGTATACATCTGCCAAAGCTTTAAATGGATACAGTTAGTTGCATTTGCAGTATACTTCAATAAGTTAAATTATCAGCAAAAAATTTAAAAAAATCATTAACTGGTCAAATTTGAAAAACTTTTCCTTTAGAATTTCTTGTATTCTTTCTAAGCTTAGAAAGTCTTCCAACCCCTACAGGTTTAATAAATATTCATTTTTACACTCTTTCTATTTGTGAAATTTAAAGATATTTAATTTTAATCCATCAGAAGTTCATTTTGCTTTTGGTAGAGGTAAGAGTCTATTTTTTTGTCTAAATTAGCTAATTTATCATCCCAGTACTGTGGTTTTCATGATGTATCCCTTCTTCCTTGATGTTGAAAGACTCTTTAACCTAACGGTAAAGCTTTAATCTAATAGAGCTATCCAATGTGTCCAGTTGGTCTGCCTACAATTCTGAACAGCCTTTAAGGCCGCAGGCTCTACATGGAAGAAAATAGAGCCTGCAGCCACAGAATTTATTTTCTGAGCCATCTGACCAAAATACCTCACATAGTCTCTGTCCTAGCTCCCAGACAGACTGGTTTTGAGGCTGAGACCGGGCAGAGTGGAGGGCCTGCCCTCTAATCTGGTGCTACACTGAGACAAGCTGTGCCTTGGCCAGAGGGTAGAGGCTAGGGGAAGCGTGTCGCTACCCTCCTCCCCTTAAGGTGAAGGGGAAGTGTTGGTGCAGACTGGTGAACTTAGAGGATTGTTTTAGGAGGGTGGAACTTTTATGGAGCTAGAGAGGAAGTCTGGGTGTGTGAGGGAGGTGGGGCTAAACTCTCATGGGGAAAGCGAGCCATTTCTCTCCCTCTCTGGCTCACTTACAATCCTGTCCAAGCCAATGCATACGTGGAGCCTCGTCAATACCACAGGATGCAGCTCCTTTCTGATTTTTCAGTGGGTCCCCGGGACTGGAGGTCACCTGAGAGGGGCCACTGGAGGCCTTCTCAGCCTGCTTTCTAGTCCTCTTTAGGTTGAATAAATTGGGCATGGGGAGCTCTTTTTAGGTAAGTCCTTTACAGAGCAGTGAGGCTGACAAGGCTCATAAGTGTTCTGAGAGTGCCCAGGCCTCTCCATGACCTCCCTCCCTGCCTGCCTCAGTGGCAGTGCTGGCTCTGTGGTAGTGGAGGGGAGACAGGAGTTATTTGGTTTTCCCCTCAAAAGTATGAGCAACTTTCCAACCAAAAAAGCCACTGACTAGTAAAACACCTACCCCATCATAGAAGGAAATGGAATTCATGTGATCCTTGGAAATGATGATGCTTCCATGACGACAGTGAGAAAACAGAAGGCCACTAGAGAAGAAATGAACATTCCCTGGAAGGAAAAGAGAGTTGGTCAGACTAGCACGGCTGGATGCTGGAGGTGAGATTCCAATGTCCTCTTGCACAGCAGAGAGGTAACTAGAAGCCAGTATCAGTAGCAATTATGTTATGTGATTTGTATGCTGAGCTCTGTGCTCTGAGGAAGCCAAAGTAACCTCCCAGAGCCTCAGAGGGAAATGAGGCATCAGATGCAGTCTTTGCATAAGAATTAGAAAAACAAGTGAATAAATTATCAGCTAATGCAGAGAAGCAAAATTCACATTCCCTTATGGGTATCTTCCAGGGAAACACACTAAAAGACTTTGGGTATATGTGCTCCATTACTTAGTTTACAGGTTTTCCTTTCTTCTGCTTTGCCAGAAGCTGGCTCAGCCCTAAAGAGACTACGTCCCTCACTTAGGGCCCAAGAAGGAGCACTAGGGTCTTAGCTGAAGACTGGTGAAGGGAGCTTAAGATCCCTGTGCCCAGCAATGGAACATTTTAGTTAGGTAATGAGTAGGTTCTACAGACTCTGGGGGCCTGCTCTTCTGTGGTTCACAAAAGCAAGAAGGGTGGCAGGTGAACATGGATTTGGGTTCCTTGGAACAAGGATTCAGGTCTAAGGAGAGCTGTTGTTTCCTGGATGGTCAAGGTCATATAGAGCAGCTCAATATAGGCCCTAGGGAGCAGACCATGGAAAAGCTGGACAACTAAGATGACAAAGATTAATGCAGGGCCTGGGCTTGCTATGGAGACACAAAAGCAGCATCCAGAGCACCCATGACTCCTAGGTGATGCTGCTTTCTAGAGCTGGTCCAAGCTGAATCTTCTATTCCTGTAACAGCTTTTCTTTCCATGTTTCCGCATACAGAGAGGAGATGAAGTAGCTCTTAAAGCTCAAGGCACAGGGTTGAGTTTATTGTCATTGAGACCTCACTGTCAAGGTAAAGGCCAAGAGACAAATAAGTGGGACTGATTCCTTGAGTTGTAGCTCCAGAAAAGTGGTGCAAAGCTCTGGAGGTTGGAATGACAAGAATTGCAAAGGTCAGAAGTCTGAGGGCTGCCTTTGCATCCTGGGTGAGGAATCTGGAGACTGCAAACTTTGAAGGCTTCCTGAGGAGGTCGGGTTTCAGAAGGAAGGGAGGGGCCTAGTTAGTATGTGTTCACAGGGAATGAGAGAAGTGAAGGGAGAAAGAAGGAGGCAGTTTTTAGATACAAGAAGAACTGGCACCTGCCTCTCATGGAAGAACCAGATGCCCAGTCAAGCCACAGAAACCTCTACCCTCCAATAAGTATCCTGGCTTTCCATGCACATTGCCTTTCCCTAAGGCCCTCTGGAAAGGAAGGGCCTTTCTACTCCTGCCTCAGCTTCATCCTGTACCAACCCCAAGGTTCCTCCATGCTGCTCCCAGGCCATTCTCCTGCCACCTCAGCATAATACTTTCATTCCCCTAGAGACACACGCCCCTCCCTCTGCTGCTCACACCCACTGCCCTCCTGACCATGCCATATTTCAAATCGCTCTGAATGTGCTCAGTCTTCCCTTCCAATGTCAACACTCCCATTCCTTCTTAGAGCAGTAAAGTTGCACCCAGAATATCATGACTTCTGAAATCTCCAGCCCAGCAGCTACTCCCTGACACCAGTACCACATTCCCCTTTTAGCTGTCCCATATGAAGATGGGCAGATCCCCTGGGACAGGACTTACCTTTTTTTTTTTTTTTTTTTTTTTTTAAGATGGGGTTTTACCATGATGGCCAGGCTGGTCTTGAACTCCTGATCTCAGGTGATCCACCCACCTTAGCCTCCCAAAGTGCTAGGATTACAGGCGTGAGCCACCGCGCCCAGCCAGTACTTACCTTTAAATCTCTGTTCTGTTATAAGAAAGGAATGGGAACAGGTTTCACGCAGTGTTTACTAAGCGCCATGCATGTCACAAATTATAGGTTTCTGTTTTCACAATTTTAAGAGGTGGTATTTTTTTTTTCATAGGACAGATGAGAAAACTCAAGCTTAGAGAGATTTCCCCCAAAATCAAGCATTACTTCTATACGTGGTGGTGAAGCCACGTATATAGAACACAGGTTTGTCTGATGCCAAAGATGCTGTACCATGCTGGTGCCTTCAGTTCTCTCCTTTTTCCTTTGAATTCTTCCCTGTCCAAAAGCCCAGCTGTGGTGAATCTGATGATGTGCCTTCTCTGCTCCCTCAACCACAACAGGCTACAGTGCTGCCCTATAGCTCGTTCACTGCTGTCTTCCAACTCCTTCCTCCAGCCCAGAGCTCATCCCAGACCTTCAACACTCTCCTAAAACCACAACACACTAAGTCCTGCCACCAGATAACTCTACTTACTGTTTCCAGAGATAACAGGGCTCTACAGCTGTCATGAGGTAGAAACTGCTCCTACTGGTGAGTGCTTAGTACCTGCACCCTTCCCTGTCCTGGGTACCCCTCCACCTGTGTACCTCTGAAGTGAACCTTTTCAGTAACAAGTCCAGTCCCACTCAAAAGGCCTCCTGGACAAATCTCAATATTCTTCCAAAGCTTCCAGAAAAAAGCACAGATTGGAGAAGCTGGCACATTCCATCTACTCACTAGGAAGAAGGGAAAGAGGTGGATGAGGGAGGTCATCTCTAGCATTTCCTCTCCCACTAGACTCTGAAGCCTCAGAACAAAATGGAAAAGAGGAAGACAAGTTCACAAGATAGTGCCGGAAAAGCACTCATTATGGGGCATGGCCCAAGGCAAGGTCTCAGTACACAGGATCTGATTTCAGTACTGTCCTGTGATTGCGGCTGCCCCTCAGCCTGGCTCTGTGAGCAGTAACTCTGTCATTATTCTCAGAGCACACATGAGATAAGTGAAGTGACTTACTGAGTGACCTAGTACCAGTACTCTGGTCTCTGAGAACCAAATCCACTTGATGCGATAACTCTTCTGGTATCTGCTCTGGACTCTTGACTGTCAGACTGTGGTCTGAGGGCCATGCCTTTGCAGGGGTTCATGGGGATCAGGGCAGCCAACTCCTGAGGAGATCTCCCTGACTCTTTGTGCCATACTTAGTGTCCTTAGTGGATGAGTTCTGTCCTTCCTTTTCCATTCTAGGAGTATGAAAAACCAGGATAAGAGGAAGTTTCCCATTACTGCCCCAGAACCAGGAGCAATGCAGTTTGGTTCTGCCTTTGATTGAGCTCTGCATCCCTGGAAGTCCAACAAAGAAGGGATGAGCCCTCGGGGTAAACCAAGATACCAAGCAAATACCAATGAAGAATTTGGCTTTTCCTCTTTCAGAAAACTAGCTGCACAAATAAAGATATTCCAACAGCCCAGTCTATGTGAAGGGGGAACATTTATCACTGCTGGGAAAATTTAGCATGCAATGGCTAGATGATTTTCATCCTGTGTCTGTAAAAGTATGCGAAATGTACACATAGGGTTTAGAGAAAAAACAAAACAAAACCAACCAACCAACCAAACAAAAAAACTAAAGCAACAACAACAAAACCCAGATGCCTATGCACTCACTACTGAGCCTAAGAAATTGAGTATTACTGGCACCATTGAAGCCCCCTGGATGTCCTTCCTCACTGAGAGCCCTTCTCTTCCACCCAGGGGGAACAGCAACCTAAATTCTGGATGGTTTTACCACACTTGAATGTATCTGTAAACTGTGTATTACTTAGCTTTATCTGTTTTTGTTTTTATATAAATGAAATCTTAATCATATATTCTTTTGTGACTTGCTTACTTCTCTTGACACTCTGTTCCTGAATGTGACCCATGCCCAGGCCAGAATGCAGTGGTGCGATCTTGGCTCACTGCAACCTCTGCCTCCCGGGTTTAAGTGATTCTCCTGCCTCAGCCTCCCGAGTAGCTGGGATTACAGGCATGTGCCACCATGGTCTGGCTAATTTTTGTATTTTTAGTAGAGATGGGGTTTCACAATGTTGTCCAGGCTGGTCTCAAATTCTTGACCTCAGGTGATCTGCCCGTCTTGGCCTCCCAAAGTGCTGGGATGACAGGCATGCGCTACCATGCCAGGCTAAAACGTTCCTATTTAAAGTGTCCCTCCTGTTGAAAATTAGCCAGGTGTGGTGGCACATGCCTATAAATCCAGCTGCTTGGGAGGCGGAGGCTGCAGTGAGCTGAGATCACACCACTGCACTCCAGCCTGGATGACAGAATGAGACTTCCTTTCAAGAAACAAAAAATTAAAAAAAAAAGTAAAGTGTCCCTCAATAGCTTCAGGTGGACACAAGGCAACATATGAGAGGATGCAGAAAGATGGCAGCAGAGAGCAGACTACAGCGGGCCTGGGCCTCTCCAACACACAAAGGTGAAAGCCAGATTGGTCCCCAGGGTTCTCAGGATGTATTCACTATCCAATGTGTCAATGGGTTCAGGACCCTGCTCTGCATTGCTAACAATTTCTGCCCAATGTAAAAACACTCAGGAACCTGTAAATCACTACAAGGAGAATGAAGGAGCTGCCTGAGCACCAACCATTCACTGATGCCTGCAGGAAACAATAGAACCCATACATATATGGTCAGCTGATTTTCAACAAAGGTGAAAGACAATTCAAAAGAGAAAGAAGAGTCTTCAACAAATGGTGCTGCAAAAACTGGATATTCATGTCAAACAGCAAACATTAACACATCCCTCACAGTGGAAATTCTGCCCATTCTCACCAGTCACAGTGGAAAATCTCATACTTCACAGGGATATTGGGTAGAGTACTCAAGAGGATTCTGCCACAGTAGTGGCATACAATTAGTCCTAAATCCAATGTTGCCCTTCCTCCTGCCTAATAAAGCTTAAAAGCAAGACCAGATAATAGGATTAGAAAAGAAAGTTATTGGCTGGGCACAGTGGCTCATGCCTACAATTCCAGCACTTTGGGAGGCAGAGATGGTTGGATTGTTTGAGGCCAGGAGTTTGAGACTAGCATGGACAACGTAGCAAGACCCCACCTCTATTAAAAAAATAATAAAATAAAGAAAAAGTTATTAAACAGTTATAACTGTATTCCATGTTTAACAAGCTGGAGGAAAGAATGAACCATATTAGCTTGAGTCATAAAAGATATAAAAAAAGATTCAAATCAAACTTCTAAATATGAAAAATACAGTGAATGTCTAAGAAGAAAAATACACTCGATGAGATTAATGGCATTAGACAATGCAGAAGAAAAGGTGAGTAAATTAGAATAAACAGAAATAGAAACTATGCAAAACAAAACACAAAGAGAAAAAATCCTGATCACAATGGTATGGAACATCAGGGAGCTGTGGGCCAACTTCAAGCTCCCTGATACACAGGTAACACGAGTCCCTGAAGGGGAGGGAAGAACTGTTAAAAAAACAATGACTGACAAATTGCTGGATTTGAGGAAGACTAAAAATCCACCAATCTGAGAAGCTAAAAAAATCTTAAGCACAAAAACCATTAAAAGGCCAGTGTGGTGGCTCATACCTATAATCCCAGAATTTTGGAAGGCTGAGGTGGGCAGATCACCTGAGGTCAGGAGTTTGAGACCAGCCTGGTCAACATGGTGAAACCCTGTCTCTATTAAAAACACAAAAAATTTAGGCTGGGTGTGGTGGTGGGCACTGTAGTCTCAGCTCCTCAGGAGGCTGACACAGGAGAATCCCTTGAACCGAGTTGGCAGCTGCAGTGAGTCAAGAATGTGCTGCTGTTGTACTCCAGCCTGGGTGGTGAGTGAAATGTCAACTCAAAAAAAACAAACAAAAAACAAACAAACAAAAAACATGAAGAAAACCACACCAAGTCACATCAAAACCAAATTGCTGAAAAAAACTTTTTTTAAACCAAACTGCCTAAAATCAGTGATAAGCAGCTGGGAAGAAAAGCTGTTTCTTACACAGAAAGAAACAGGCCAGACACGGTGGTTCACGCCTGTAATTCCAGAACTTTGGAAGCCTGAGGCGGGTGGATCACCTGAGGTCAGGAGTTCGAGACCAACCTGACCAACATGGAGAAACCCCATCTCTGCTAAAAATACAAAATTAGCCGGGCATGGTGGCGCATGCCTGTAATCCCAGCTACTCGGGAGGCTGAGGCAGGAGAATCACTTGAACCCGGGAGGTGGAGGTTGTAGTGAGCTGAGATCATGCCATTGCATTCCAGCCTGGGCAACAAGAGCAAAACTCCATCTCCAAAAAAAAAAAAAAAAATCATGCCTTGAGTGTTTTACAGGCAAGTACTAACAGAGTCAAAGAATACATAATTCAAATCTCATACATAATATTCTACAGTAAGGGAATACAAAAGGGAATACTCCTTGGCTAGAAAATTTGATCCTAAACCAGAAATTACACTACAAAAAAAAGAAAAAAAGCTAATCTTATTCATAACGTAATAATCCTAACAAAATGGTTAGCAAACTGAGGCTAGCAGTATATTAAAAGTAATAATCAAGTTAGCCCTTCTCAAGAATGTAGAATTAACATTTAAAAAATCAAGTAATATAGCAGTTTATTATGTTAACAGATTAAAGAAACAAATTTGTAAGTGTAGGAAAAAGCGCTAAGAAAAATCAAGAAACAGGTATGATAAAAGCTTACTAAACTTACAATGAAAGGGAAATGTTCTTAAAATCCACAAGTATTAAAATACAGAGGAAGCAGTAAAGCTCTCTCTGCTAGATGGGAATAATACAAGAATGGCTGTTATCACTACTTCTACTCCATGATGTACTAGTGGTATGAGCCAGTGAAGGCAAGATAAAGAAATATAATAAGAATTAGGCTGGGCACGGTGGCTCACACCTGTAATCCAAGCACTTTGGAGGCCAAGACGGGCGGATCACCTGAGGTCGGGAGTTCAGGACCAGCCTGACCAACATGGTGAAACCCTGTCTTATTAAAAAAAAAAAAAAAAAAAAAAGAATTGGAGAGGAAAAAATAAAGCCATCATAATCCATAGATCATATGAGTGCCCATAAATAAAACTCCAAAGGATCCAGATTATTAGAATTAATTAAGAATAAGGTTCAGGAATACAAAGTAAATATATAAATATTAAATACAGTTAATCTATAACCAGCAATTTTACCACAATTTAGGATTATAGTCCTAGATAAATCATCAAAAGTATAATTATAAAAGATATTTCTGACAGCAAAAAAGATATAAAATAATGAGAAAATTATAACACTATGTTAAAAGTCATTTAAAATGACATAAATATATATCACATTCATGGACTGGAAACTTAGGTTTACTTAATTGACATGGTAAAAATGACAATTCTCTCCAGAGTGACCTTTAAATTCAACATAATTTCAGTAAAAAAAAAACCCAACAAGTTTTTTGAAAATCCTGAAAAGCCAAAATAAAAATGTCAATAACTTGGAGCAAAATGCTAAGAACAGCCAAGACACTCCTGAAGAAGAAAAATAAGGTAGGAACTTGCCTTATCACATTAGACACTGAATGTCTGTGCCCTCTCCAAAATTCCCATGTTGAAGCCTTAACCCCAAAAGTGATGGTATCTGGAGATGGGGCTTTTGGAAGGAAACTGGAGTTAGATGAAATGTGATGAGGTCATAAATGTGGGGCACAGTCTGTTGGGATGTGGTGCCCTTAGAGGAGCTACCAGAGAGCTTGGCCCCTACCATGTGTGCACAGAGGAGGGGTCATGTGGGCACACAGTGACAGCCGGCCTCTACTGGCCAAGAGAAGAGGATGAAACCTCCCTTGCCTGTACCTTGATCCTGGACTTCCCAGCCTCCAGACTGAGAGAAATAAATTTCTACTGTTTAAGCCACTCAGTCTGTGGCATTTTGTTATGGCAGCCCAAGTGGACTAAGACACCATATAGAAATACGTTATCTGTCTAAAATAAAACAACATGGTATTTTCTCAGGGAGAAGCTGAATAATGGAACAGAATAGAGAGCCTATTTATAAATGCACACATAAAGAGAGCTGATTTATAACAAAGCTGGCATTACCGATTGGTGGGAAAAGAATGATTTTTTAATAACTGTTGCTGAGACAGGTTGTTGCTTACATTTAAAAAATGAAATTTGACTCCTATCTTATATCACTTTCAAAGAGCAATCCAGGTGGATTATTTGAAAAATTATCATATTTTTATAATTCAACAGAAAAAGACTCAATAAATCTAAAATACATGAATCACACAGGAAAAGATTATCTCGATTACATTAAAACCAAAAACTTTTACTCGCTAAAAAGCATCAGAAATAAAAGAAAAACACAAGCCATGAGGTGAAAGAAAATATTTGCAATATACTGAACTGACAAAGAATTAGTATCCAAAATCTATAAAGAATTCCTAAAATAGGCCAGATGCAGTGGCCCACGCCTGTAATCCCCAGCACTCTGGGAGGCCAAAGAGGGCAGATGACCTGAGGTCAGGAGTTCAAGACCAGCCTGGCCAACACAGCGAAACCCTGTCTCTACTAAAAATACAAAAATTGCCGGGCACGGTGGCTCAAGCCTGTAATCCCAGCACTTTGGGAGGCCGAGGCAGGTGGATCACGAGGTCAAGAGATCGAGACCACCCTGGTCAACATGGTGAAACCCCGTCTCTACTAAAAATACAAAAAATTAGCTGGGCATGGTGGCACGTGCCTGTAATCCCAGCTACTCTGGAGGCTGAGGCAGGAGAATTGCCTGAACCCAGGAGGCGGAGGTTGCGGTGAGCCGAGATCGCGCCATTGCATTCCAGCCTGGGTAACAAGAGCGAAACTCCGTCTCAAAAAAAAAAAAAAAAATTAGCTGGGTGTGGTGGTACACCCCTGTAGTCCCAGCTACTTGGGAGACTGAGGCACGAGAGCTGCTTGAACCTGGGAGGTGGAGGTTGCAGTGAGC